GTCCTTTGTGTCTTCCCTGGTGAACTTGATGTTTTTATCCACAGCGTTAATGTGCGCAGTGAAGGATTCCACTTCTTGTGTCAAGACACAAGAAGTGGCTACAGTGACTCTGTAGCTCAGAGTGTGTATTATGTGTTTTATCCTATTGTAAAGTGTCCTTGGGTGACTTGAAAGGCGCTCATTAATAAAATGTATTATTATTATTATTATCAGACGGCAGGAAGGCCGGCCACCATTACAAATAAAGTGTGCTAATATTTTTATTTCATTTGTAATTTTAGCTTCCAGCTGTTATAAAACCAGTATAATCCAGTTCAAACCAGTATTCTTCTGCAATTATAATTAATATGGTCTGAAAGTCGCTCTGCTCATTGCTGTCAGCACATGCAGACATCCAACAGAGGAACCATTTTACACTTGACATCTTATGTTGGATTTTTATTATATCACCAAAGACCAAACAATCTTACCTGGAAGTCTTCAAAGGAGACCCTCCACTGATTGGCTGGGTCTTTGGATGTGCGCGGCACGAGCAGCGGCCACTGGAAGTTGGTGACGGACTCGCAGCGGTACGAGTACTCGGCGGGAGCGTAAATGTTCCTGCTGCCGTTAAACGTGGCTTTGGTACCGTCGTACTCTAGCTCCACGGCGTCCAGCGTGAACCAGCGCCGTGCCGACACCTTGTAATTCCGCTGACTCAGAGCAAAGCTGAAAAACACCAACGAGCAGAGCATCGAATATCTTTAACAGCAAAACAGGAAGTTTTCAAGAGTGCAGCAGGACTGATAAATGTAAAAGCATAGATATAATATATTAATGCATATGGGTGTGCGTGTATTCATATCTTTATGGGGACCAGAAACAGGAAGTTTACTACACTTTTGGGGACCAAAATCCTGGTCACTTACATCAGTTTGAAGCTGCGGTGGTTCAGCACGTTCTTATAATTCAGAACCAAACTGAAAGAAAAAAAACTCACGTTAAATTTACACCTGCAGCAGCATTTCATGAAAAACAAAACATTTTAAAACATTTGAATTTCAGACTCCAGTTTGAGCGGCGTCAGAGCTTAGTGATATTCACAGCACAGCATGAAAATGAATGATTGTTTTTACATATTGCATTATGTCACAGGTAAAAAGCACCTGGCTTTGGTTTTGTCGCAGCTTGAGCCGTCGAGGTTGGGGGTGACGCCTTCTCCAAAGGTGGACGGGGTGAGGTCGTGCTCCTCCCAGCGACCGCTGCGCAGGATGCTCACCGACAGGCTTTTAGCCCACAGCAGGATGCAGCTGTTCTCCCCCTCCTGCAGAATAACCAGTGAACAGAAAGGTTCTCCTTACAATGGCATCTGGATTTTCTGCCACAACATCTTTGACATCAGCGCCACCCTGTGAGCTGCCGACCCAAGTTTCAAATTAGTTTGAGAATATTCTGGATTTTTATTGCAAATCCAACATCGTGTCAATGTCAGCACGTTAACTTCATTCATGACTTGAAAGTTCTGATTTTGCTCTGCAACAGTTTGTTGTTGGTGGGATTTACAGTGAAACAGAAAACAGCCTTTAGGAAAAAGAGTTCAAATGAATAAATAATCACGATTACAAATAAGAAATGATTTAAGGAAGCAGAGTCAAAGTCCTGCTCAGGTATCTGTGACTCCACCTTGAACTCGACGGGTGGGTACGTTTCAGCCCTCTCCTGGGTCCTCAGCTGCTTCTCCCGTTCTCTACCGCTCTCCTTGTGTCCCCCTCTGACCTGCAGCAGCGAGCGCCCCCCACCCAGACCGGCCTCCACAGAGAGAGACGCTGCCTCCTGTGTAGAAAAAGAAAGATGGAGGGAGGGGGGCAGGTATGACAAATGGCTGCAAACATGTATAAATGTTTCTGAATGAGACTCGGACTCACCCTGGAGGGCCGCAGGGCGGTGTAGATAGCCGTATATGGAACAGACTGCGACTTCATGATGTTCAGCACCTGACCAATCACTTCATCTGAAAAACACGCGTCATAGAGAAAACAGTCACAGGAAAAGATGGCAAATAAAAAGCTCACAGATGATTGTGAGAATCGCATGCTTCAGAGTCTGAGCTCCACAGTCACTGGGTCAGATTAAACAGACTCACCGTTTCCACTGAGAATCTCTTTCGCTGACAAGAGATCAGCTCTGAAACGACAAATGAGGCCAGGAAGGATGGATGAGTCTTAATGTCTTTGGAGGAGAGGCTTCAGTGTTTTTAAAGCTCATCCAGATGAAGTGTGTGGGTTATTTCCCTTCTAGAAAATTACCTCTTTAACTTTACCGTGCGACGTTTGAGAAATTGAATTTCAATTTTTAGAAAACGTACAAACAGCGACATCAAGGCCCATTTAGAAACCATTATAACAGGATCAAAGTCTGTGGAGGACATGACCACAGCTGTTCTATGTGAACTCAGTTCACTGAGCTCAAAATGAGCAAAACTACCAGCTGCAGTCCAAGACAGAGGATGACTGATTATATCATTTGTCACAAAGTAACTGGCAGTATAAAATGTTTACAGCAGGAAATCCCATTAACGGTTAATTATTGAACAGTCAACAGACCCGATGCCGTAGGGCAGTCTGAACACGAGCAGAGCAGGCGACGAGGCGTTCAGTCTCAGCTGGCTCAGCGTCTCAGGGTCCATGTACAGAGGGGAGGTGTCCAATTGGTCCTGCAGCTGGCCAATCACTGCATTGGATGCAGGCCAGGAAACAGCAGGTAAAACCAGAGAGGAGGATGATGACATCAGAGCTCCCTGTGACAGAAGAAAAACCATGAGTGACCGACACACACCTGAGAGTAAACCGGAAACGTTCTGTTTGGTTTGTTTCATCGTGATAATACCTCCAGGTTTGGAAACACATTATCCTGCTTGTTTCCAAAGGCTCCTCCATACATGGTGAAGTCCTCGATGCTCATCTGAAGACCGAGAGGAAAAACAATGAGTCAAATGTTTTAGACCACAGAGAGCAAAGACAAACTGTGACGGTTTTAACCTTCAGTCAAACACTGCTGACCTGTGAGGCCGTCTGCCATTAGTTTTAAAAGTCTTGACCAAATTAAATAAAGAAATACCAAAACTTGAAGAGTTCTGATAAATGTGAAAAGGCTACATGATCATGCACATGAACGGGACGGGGCCATACAAGAGCAAACGAGACGAGGAGCATTTGTGCTTGTGTTTAGTTTTAGTGCCTCAGAAGAAATTAAAAAAAAAAAAAATCAAGGACGCTCAACAACAGCGTGAGGGTTTACCTTGTCCTGAAGGAAGAGGACTACGTTATGTGGTCCGACGTCCAGAGCTTTCTCCAGGTAGGAGGCCAGCTGCTGCTGCCCAACGATGTGCCCGGCTGTTGGAGGAGCCTGAGCTGGCAGGGAGATGCTGCAGGAGACACCAAACACAGGTGGAGGAGTCATGAAGTGCTGCTACATAACAAGAAGAGTCCTCTACCAGACCGAATCTGATGGATTCACAGTGAAGCGGTTTTATTATTGTCGTTTCAACCATCTGCAAGAACCTATACGCCTTTAATGAGTGAGGACCAAATTATCTGCAGATAAACCTGCATCACGTCAAAGAGCACATTCCTGATTTTCTTGCAGATACAGATGATTGAATATTATTAAAACAGGAGAAAAACCCAAGCACTTCACAATGTGAACTTCTCACATCCGAAGACCCTCATCAAAGGCCGTCAAATACATAATGTATTCGTTTTTACAGTATGAAAGCCTTTGATAACACATGCTGCTCTGTCTTCTGTGTGTCAGGCAGCACAGACAGATGCAGGAGTGTTTGCTAGCTGTCAGGTGGACTGCACCCGTCACTCATTGGGCCTGCAGGATATTCTCATGTCACGTTCTCTGACATAACCTCGTGTTTCAGCCAGTCCGCTCAAAGTAAACGTTTTCCGGGCCGTGTACTGTGGTGACGAAGCAGAGAACGTAGCTTTTGTCCGCTGTTTTTCTCACGGCTAACCGTTAGCCGCTGAGGTCGCAGAAGGAGCTGCGGAAACGGGACCAAAATCAGTAAAAATTCACGGCTACGTACCTTCTGCTGGTCCACAGCAGGAGCGGCACCTGCTCGTCGCAGCTAGCCAGCTTCAACACGTTCAATAAAGCGAGAAAAACGGCCACAGCCGCAGTGATGCGCCGCCGCTGCAGTGCCCCCGCCGCCATCTTTACAGCCTCTGACAGCACGCTCGTGACGTTCCACGAGATCACTTGACCAGATCACGTGACCAGACGGCGCAGCGGCGGACGTGAAAAAGGATTTTTTTTTACTTCAAATGTATCAACGTTTTAATATTCTATTATTTGTGTTGTTTTATTTTGCTAATATTAGACACAATGTAGTAATGGCAAATAACCATGATTTATTGTTCACGTGATACCATTATTTCAATGTCATTTAATGTTATTAAATGTTTTCTTTTTTTTAAATACAAATACAAGTATTATTTACTGTAACAGATATATTGGAAACCGTAATTCCCTTCAACATGTCCAATTAATCATCCAAAGTGAGAATATTTAACTTTTCAAAGAAACATCTTAAAAATTACGTTCTGCAAAAATATGGAAACATTCACGATTTAGCATAAACTGATCATCTTTAGTGGCTTAATGTACACTTTGTCTACATAAAGTGTAAGGTTTGCTAAGCACTCATAATGCCACCAAACTGTTCGTGGATCTGTTAGACTGGTGCAGAGTTTAAAGATGAACCACAAATGGAACAAATTCAAACTTAGAAAAGTCAGATTCTTTATTGGACTTCACATCAAGTATAGGAAAGAGTGGCAATCACATTAAGGCGATACACTTATAAAATTAGCACAGATTTTGTCCCTTATAAAATCCTTTTTGTCCTCTGTGATAAAATAAGTTATGTACATCGGTGATGGGGCAGCATTCAGGGGTTTTAGGATTAACAGGAAAACTTTGATTGAAAAAGAAAATTATCAACACAACTAAGAGATGACTGAAAAACAGCAAGGAGCAATCCAATGATCAAACATAACAGTACGATTACCTCAATCATTTACTGCCTGAGCATCTTTCTGATAACAGCTGCAAACATCTGGCATGCAGCACTTTGACTTCCTCATGCACAGAGGAGCATGATGAGTACTAATATTTAGTAGTTTAAACAACAGCAGCTTTACATCTTAAAGGAAAAAAGAACTGGTTATTAAACAGATCATCAAAATTGAACAATTCAGCAAAACTGAGAAAAGCATTCAGCTGGTGCAGAGCCCGATCAGAGCAGGATCATTTCTCCCACACTGACAAGTTACCAGATAAAACCTGCACTCCATGACCCGTCGGTGAGCAGCTGCTGTCTGTTGCTAGGTGAAACCTCCTTGTTACTTAGAGCCTGGCGGAAATACTTATTCATACATAGTGACTGGTGGTTGCCAGGCAGTCACCAGGTGCTCACCCTAGTAACTGGGACTTGGTTAACTAGTCTTGGTTTGCTGCCCTTTTTGAGATCTATTGTGTGTTTCACCAGTAAGAAAAAAAAACAAAGTTCAAGGCTATTGTTCACCGCACCCCCCACACACACACACACACAAAGGTCATGAGGTGGCCCCTTCACTCGCCCATCCATCACCCGACCTCCTCTCTCCTCCTCAGACTCAACACCAGCTTCTGCTGCTGCTCTGGACTTCAAAGTTGGATGACATGAAAAGCTGAATCATCAAAATCAAAATGCCTTCTGATACCAAGGAGGTAAAAGAAATTCTCCTGAGGGCTTCTGGTTATAAAGGGTCCCAGAGAAACCATGTATTCATATGTAATCAATCATTCATACATCTGCAGTGCTACTCGTCCTGTTTAGGTGTGCAGTGGACCAACCTGATTTTGAAGCAATAACTGAATTACAAAATGAGTTTGTTGCATCCAAAGTTACAGTCGTTTACGACTGTCAGCGAAACACTCTGAGGCTCAGTGATGTCTCCGTGTGGAGGTGTGGGAGCTTCTCTGTACATGGGGTGTTATCCTCAGGGCTGATGTGTGAAGGACCAGTGTCTGCAGGCAAACGCAGGACGGCTAGGACTCAGGATCTGGTCTCTACCTGCTTGTGCAGGGCCTCGGCCTGGGCTTTCAGGCTCCGAAACTCCACCTGGACGAAATCCGTCAGGGTCTTCCGCATTTCCAACTGAGGGGAAAATTTGAAACGTACATTCAGTATCTGTTATAATTACTTTCTACATTTGAGAAAGTGAAATCTCTGAGAGTTAGTTAGGATTCAATCATGGTGTTCATGGTGACGTCCTGAAACCTCCTGTTTTATCTGACAGAAGAAGTTTTTTGTTGTTTTTTTACTTGCTGATGTCAGCGAACTTCATGACAGCACCTTAAATGAAGCCGTGCTCACCTGGCTCTTGTTTTCAGCTCGGAGGGTTTCAACGAGATCTTTGACACTGAACGGTTTCCCCACGAGGACGGTGATTCTCTGGAAGACAACGAAATATGTTGAAAAAGAAAAAACCCTCAAAGATCCGAACACATCCTGGAGTCAGACTCAAGGCGTCTCACCTTGCCCGTGCGAGGAATGTAGGGCTCCACGTTGGGCAGCACGTCGCTCAAACCTGACATGAAGCAGAGAAGAAGTGATGCGTTTCCTCTGTACCTGCATCACTGCGTGGCGCTGTTCGCCGACCTTAATCCATCAGACTGCTGCTACCTTGCTAATGTCTTGTGGTGACATCTTAATCTGTAGTCTGAGATATTCTGAAGCCATAACAGGAGCGTCACTCACCCACGTGCCAGAGCGGCAGGATTATCGGATTAAGCGAGCACTCCGCTATCAGCCGACCAACACCTAAAACCACAGAAGCACAAATATTCACACTGATGATCACAGCACGACATCTGCTCCAACAGAGACGCACAAACTGCGCTCACCCCACTTTAAACGTATGAATTCCTCCGTCATGTTGATTTTGCCTGAAATAAAATCAGAGAAGAAGAGTTCATTTTCACAGTAAGAAAAAAATAACGACATGTGAGGAGGAGGTTCACAGACCTTCTGGAAAGACGTGCACCCACTCTCCTTTGTTCAGCTTCTCCAGAATAAAGTCCATTCCTTTCTGGTAAACACCATCACCTACAGACACAAAACGGTTTTACACACGTTTTGATCACTTAAATAATATCATGTAACAATGTCAGTGTGCCTGTTTGCGTGTAAGAGTCTACATGGACTTGTCCTATTAAGGTCTGTGAGCATTCCTCACTCATTTCTGTCTATTATGTCAAGGCTTTTTGTTTTCTCTTATATTTATGTTATTAGTTTATTAGTAATTTAATGCGACTGGCTGCATGACTGTGGAAATTTGCAGTTTTGCTATAATCAGCCAGGTTTACAGTATGTTTGATATACTTGTGTTCATGTCTTGTCCTTGTTAAATAATGGAAAGAAAGAAAAAGAAAACGTCTGCTGAAGGTTTTCTGTCATTCACAGGACAACAAACTGAAACAGAAAAAGCCCGACGTTCAGACTTCTGCTCGGATACTTGGCTCATGTGGTGTGATGCGCTCAGATGGGCTTACCTCTGCAGACGGGAACACACTTCCCTCGGCTGAAGAACCTGGAGTGCAGCTCTTTAGTGAAGCAGATGTCAGATGCTGTAGGTGTCCTGTCCAATCACAGGTAAGTGAAAATTACACGTCCCTGCTTCTAAAACATTAACAGGCTGAAGCTCAGAAGAAACGAGATGAAGCTCACCATCGCATCTTTTTGAAGTTCCACAGCTGCCTGAGCCTCAGGACGCCTGCCGCAAACACACGCCGTTACCATCCAAGTGTTAACCAGCAGTGAGATTTCAGATCGAGTGTCTGCTCTTACCCCAGATGTGCGGATCATCCATACAGGACTGGTGGTTGGATAGAGTGATGAGGGGCGTGTCCGAAGGCCTCTGGTCAACCAGGTTCAACAGAACCTCGTGGTTGTGGACCGTCAGACAGTTCATGTACTCTTAGGAAGAAGAGCAGGAGGCAGGATCAGTCGAAGGTTCTCTGAGTGACATCCAGAAAATTAAGATGAACGTAAAATTTGCTTTCTTCTTGTTGATATCAGCAGCTCGCTTTCCCTCTAACTCCTCTGTGAAGCCACATCACTGTTATCTTCGTCCTCGTGTGGACTCTGTGCTGTACTGTGTATTTTAGTTAACAGTACAGTTCAGTCACTCATGCTCTCACTGAGCATAAACACCCAGAGACCGTTGGAGGCAACCAAGGGACTTGATTTTCTTTTTAAAGAAGTGCAGTTTGCTGCTAATAAGCGAGAGTGTACAAGTTATCATTCAGCTTATAACTTACTGGTCCAGAAGTAGGAGTAGGAGCCCACCATGCCCATGATCAGTGAGCTGGAGACCCTCCACGGCAGAGCGGGGCATTGAGGGAACGGCCATCTCACCTCCAGGGGCATCACGGCGCTCTGCTGACACTACATCCACACACACACTCACCTGAACACAAAGCCACGCAGGGGGAGGCTGAATGACAGAGACAGCAGGTGGCGCTCAAACCAAACTCCTGCTGTCATACTGTAAGAGCGTAATCTTCATTAAAAGCAACAACTTTATTTGTTTGGTTTCTGTTTCCTGTCAACAAAACATTTTGTCTGCTGCGTTTGAAAAGCAAACTCCTCCATGTGTTATATGATTAAAAAGAAAAACAGCTTCCCACATATAACCGTATGTAACGATAATGATAATAATAATAATAACTCCATGTGAGTGCCTGTATAGTTTCTGTAAGGATTTTTATTTGCACTGAAAATGTTCAAAGAGGACTCAACATGCTCCTGTCTGCACACCTCAGGGTTAACCCTGAACTTACTTTGATACGGTCAAATCCTGCATGGTGACTCAGACCTCTGAGGTTTAAACCCAACTACGAAACAAAAAGTTATCTGAAAACTGTCGTTTTTGTATCTCAGCCACTGCCAACTACAGTTTATCCGAACAACGTGTGTCCTCGAGTACATCTTAGAGTTTTATGCTATGCAAAAATAAAACAAAAACCTGTTGAAATGATGTTTTGGACCTTTAGGACACCGTAGCCACGCGAAACAGTAAGGTAAGTAAAGAACAAACAAAAAAATCAAAAGAAACTTAAAACGAACCAAATTTATAAAGTTGTGTCTTTGGAGTCTTTGTATTGTCTATAAGAGACCAAACTAAGTTTGAATAGGTTCCACGTGGTTATATTTATGTCTCACAGCATTAGCTCACACAGCACGCAGCTTTAGGATGAAGTGAGCAGGAAGAGCAGCCGGCTAACGTTAGCCTGTTAGCTCCTGGCCAAAGTTTACGGCACACTGACTTCTGAGAGACGTGATAATGAAAGAAAACAACGAAAAAGTTCATAGTTCAAATTTTAACTCATCTGAGTTAAATGTTAAAGGAGTGTTGTCTCAGCTAACGGTGCTCGGCAGCTGCACTCACATTATGTCAGATTAGCTAAAAACGGGTTTTATTTCCTCAGAAATGCAGAAAAAAATTTCGTCGTTAATTTTTCTGAAACTGCATAAAAACATTTAAAGACATGACAACTCCGGCAGCTGCAAACATCACCACATCTTACATTTCCTCACCTTTCTCCTGTCTCCTGCTAACAGGCTGATGGTCACCAACCCCGGAAGCTGTTATCACGCGCTGAACTATGGGTAATGTAGTTTTCGGTTAAACTTTACGTTTTCCCTGTTTATTACAGATGCGCGCAATTTATATTTATGTTTCTTTCAAACACGTTAACGCTTCATAAAATAAGACGACTTCAAGACGCTGTTATTTCCTTTAAACGGGTTTGATGTAGTCCATCAACCTCTTCAGCAATGAGAAACGAGGTTTTATGGGTAACGGAGTCTGGGAAGTAGGCCAAAGGTGACGGGTTTTTTCTTTAATCGGACCTTCTCTGTAAGAAAATAATAATTAAATACAACATATGTAGATGGCTCATTTAGTATTCAATCAGGATACAACATCTGGAAGTAGCCAGTTATTACAATAATACTAAACTGCAAAAGCCCCGAAAATGAAATGTTGAAATGAATGTTAAAATGGTATGTTTTATTAACTCTACACCTTATGATTGGCTGAAGTCTTAGGCCTCTGTAAGCTGTAAAACGTGCTATTTTAGGATATACACATACAGTGTGTGATTTTGAGAAACTTTGTGCTGTCACTGATGCCACAGAGCACGGCTCTATGCACATTGTCTATTGACAATGAAGGTCAAGATTAAATGTTCGGCTGACCGTGGTATTCATGTCCGCAGGCCTATATATTCTTGTGATGTTTTGATCTTTAAAAATTGTTGGTAAAATAAAGTTTTCACAGATTTTCACATGTGAAACGTACGCACAATAGTAATTAAAAATACAGCTTTCCACAGTGCATGTTCATGAATATGTCTGTATTTTTTCAGTGAATTAGAAAATGAAATTAGTAAAAACAGTTTATATTTGAATTTATTTTGTTCAATGCAATCTTTAGATTCCATACAAACATTTTTGGTCTCATCATTATCGTCTGTTTTGCTTGTTATTTAAAATGACCATAAAGAAAAAAAACCTCTTGTGCTCCGTCATGGCAACAGTATTTGCATAATTTCTGCTGTGTATTTGTTTGGTCTCAACTCCTGTTCAGGTCTCGCAGAGGCAACATGATCTCTTCAAAGGCTTCATATACAAATGCAGATGGAGCCCTTTGCCCCTGCAGTGGGCCAGTGGCCCATTTAAAGCAATTCCATGTCTAGCAAAGTGACGTCATCTATTTAAATACTTGGATTGAAGAAATACTGATGCTGGTATCTCATCACCATCCAGCAATGTCTGTTTGGGAGCTTAGTTGTGCCTGTGTAGCATTCACACTCTATTATTCTCTCTAATAAATAGCATGTACTTCACATTCCAGGGTACATACCAGGATACTGGACACACGTACAATTATTATGACTGCACTGGTGCATACGAGCAGCTGAGAAACTCTGCTACTACTGACAAAGCAAGAGGAGAGGGGGGAGGCATGTTTGGAGGCAGTGAGAGAGAAGGACAATTCATGAATGTAGTGAAGGAGGACAGGCAGAGAGTCGGTGTGACAGAAGAGGATGCAAAGGCAGAGGAGATGAAGGCAGATGATCTGCTGTGAAAAAGAAGAAGAAGAAGAAAAGGTCTGGAACTTGTAAACAACAGGACCTGAAGATTTGCTGAAACTTTCAGTTTTGAGACGCCTTAACGCCCACTCACATCCTGGGCCATCTGACCTCAGGAAATCACATGATAGGGTGGGGCCAGGTTTCACAATGAGCTCATCCGAAACTCTGGCTGATTGTGACCCACACCTGCTTTGACACCTTGGCTCATGTGATTAGGTAGAGGATCATCAGGGGGTCCTTTGTCCCTCTGTGGGGGGAAACTCCCACAGGGTTTAAATCTGGGACTCCCCACCATTTGACTCTATAACTGAAGAAGCTGTCTCTCAAATTGTACATGTTTCCACTGCTCCCAATCTCAGGAACAATGACAGACGCCACGTTTTTGGAAAATATATTTTTAAAAGTTTAAAAGTACACGTTAGATTTATTTCACCAACACTGTTTGAGGGAGAAAATCTCCAGTTACTGCTTCGTCGTCTTTCACCAGCTCGGTGCGAGCAGGTTCAGGCCCTTTAATGCCACCTCAAATCCCAGAAAACAAGCCTGAGAGGGAGAGAGGAGAAGAAAGCCATGATGAACACGTGTGCACTGTACTGATATGAGGGGTGAGATAAGCATGTATTAATATTTGAATGAGTGTTACAGCGTTGGCTGGGAAGGCTCGCAGGAAAACTGCATTGAAGCCCTTGTAGAGAGCTTTAGGTCCTTCTTCTCGAAGCAGTGCTCGCAGGACATCAGCCAGACCTCTGTACTTCCCATCTGCAGCTACACACAAACACACAGTTTACCCATCCAGTGTTAATCATATCCAGATAATAAAGCTAAGCTGGAAACGTCACAAACCACTGACTGATGTCATGGTGTCCTTGTTTTATGTGGTCTAAAAATCTACTAACGAAATGAAAATACTAGCTTCACTTGGACTCAGCTCTGACCTGTCTGGAAGTTGGACTTGAGCACGTCTGGGGGAAGAGCAATCACCCAGTTTAATATTCCGGCTACACCACCAGCCAGGAGGATTCTGGGAGTGCTGAGCTGAGACACACTTGCACACAGTCAGAGAGAAGTGAAAGCACAGATTTACAGCATCTGACAAATCTTTGGTCTTTATAGGAGTTAGAACTGTTCAAATGGATACTGACCTTTGACCCTCAGGGGTCAGGACATCCTTGAGATATTCATACGTGAGGAAGTACAGACCGCTAGAAGGCACGTCTGAGACCGAGATGGAGAGAGAAACAGTCACACCGCTAAACCTCGGGTCACCTCAGCTCCTCTGCTCGAGGTCACACAACACTGTCACGCACAAACATACAGATACACAAACCACAGTGCAGCGTACCTCTGATGAGAGTGAGCACAGTTCCTTTGTAGACGCTGCGGATCCCCTGCTCCTTATAGAGCCTGACCGCACAGTCCAGCGGACCTGCGTACTTGGACCTTCCACCGCTCGACTGCACCTGGAAAACACACATTTCACAACATTTACTTAAATACATAAATATATGTTTCAGTCATGCCTTTAAATATGTGTTGGATTAAAGCTTCCCATGGATATTAGTTTATAACTAGTCAGGTTATGGTATAACCACACGAATAAAGTTACGCAACTGATGTTTAAAGCTGGACATGTGAGCAGAGCGACTTCTGCACGTGTCTGTGAATGAAGAGCATTTGCTCTCAAAAAGCACCGTAAATTATAATCAACCATAAAACAAGTGTTTACTTTGGATTCTAATTATATCACAGCAACCTGACTGCACACACACACACACACACACACACACACACACACACACACACACACACACACACACTTACCTGTAGCAAGCATTTGATCCTCTCTCCTGGAGCTACTATCACTGTAGTGAAGACTCCTGCCAGACAGCCGGACAGGAATATCTGATGGTACCTGAACAGAGCAGGTGATGGAAGTTCAGCTGTGTAGAAGTCAGACTCACTCCCAGGCAGCCACCTCAGTAACAGCTGGGTACTCTTCCAGGCAGTTATCATGAACCATGACCCAGATTAATATTATTTTTCGTTTCCCTGGTCAGCAGGACCAACAGCATCTTATACGTATTTGGAACAGCTGTTTCCCTCTGGAACATCTGCTTCTACAACTATCTCTGCACAGCTGCAGAATTCTTTCAACTTCAATTCAGGATTTTTTGAATATTCGCTCGCTTTGAATCTCCACCAGCAGCTGAGGGAAACGTCTGCCTCTGTAGCTGCAGATGCAATATTTGCACCAGTTAGTCTGCAAAGAGCAGTTTCTTGTTGCTGCGCCTGTGAGTCAGCTGCACATCAGTAGGGTGTTGACGGGGAAACCTGAGAGTATTTGGACACACCTCCACACATGAGCATCTTTAAGAGCAGCTTTAAAACATTCTTACAACAATAAATGAAGATTCAGAGATCAGATCGCTATGATGGGTGGATTAGGGCTTCTCTTCTTGAAATAGCTTTCTGATTGGTTGGATTGAAAGGTGGGTGGGGCTTCTAGACCAAAAATGAGACTGCTACTTATGACATCATACAGATCCAAGAGTAGAAAAGAAACTGACAAACTGAGTGTTTAGAGCAGTTTGAAGCCTGAACTGAAGTCATCTCGTTATTGGATCAATAATGTTTCGTAATTTCTCAAATTTTATGTGCAACGTGCTGAGATTTTAAATCTCAGTGGGTCTTTCCTGGTTAATTAAATAATAAAATGTAAAAATTAATTAAAAGTACTGTAGACACACTGAGCTCAGTATTAAAACTATGGCCACCAGTGGAACATCAGTGCCAGGAAACAAAGGATATCAGGTCCTCTCTGAACACAGGATACTGTAGTACTGCTCACTTAACTACAGACACGCTGACTGTGTTGCTATAAAGTCTTCAGAGGTGAGACAGAAGCTACCAGTGATCGCCAACTCATGCTTAACATTTCATATGTACGTCAGGGTAACAGGACGGGGGTGTGAAGGGGGCGTGCTGCTTCAAATGAACGAATGACAACAGAAGGAAGGGAGGCAGGGCGAGAGTTATATATAGAGAAACACACAAGCGACAGTGTGTAAGCTTTGGAGGAGTGTTTGAAGGTTAAGGTGACGTTTAATGGTTGGATCTAGCCTTTTAGCTGTGATAGTTACACATTACTGATGTTGAGCCTATTTTAAAAACAGCTGGATGTGTAACAGGTCTGCTCCAGCCTACAAACACAGACGGGGGTAAAAAGAAAGTGCGCTCTCTTTCACTTCTAAGGTGTTAAGCAGGTCTTAACATTGGATCAATTCAGCCTCAGATGAACAACAACACATGAGACTTCACACCAACTCACTCTTAAACAAAAATGAAGCCAAAAAGCAGAAGCTGTAAGAGCACCCCATGATTGAGCAGCTTTAACAGCAATGAGCTGAAGCAACTGTTTCCTGTGTGACTTCATGAGTCTGTCACGTCACTGTGGAGTTTTATTCCACTCATCTTCACAGTGTTGCTTCAGTTCGATGTTTGCAGCATTCATGTATGCACAGATCTCTGAAGGTGTGTGTGTTTGTGTGTGTGTGGGTGTGTTTGAACTAACATGAGCGGTTTTCCAGAAGCCGTCTGTTGGAGCTGTTTTCCAAGACCAAACCCAAAGAAACTGATGGCCATCATAGGAGCCACACCTGCCAGGGGCGCCCCCATGCCTTTATAGAGACCAAGGATGCCCTGACACACACACACACACACACACACACACACACACACACACACACACACACACACACACA